GTTGAAACTCCAGTGTTTGTGGCATGTGGCTTGGCTAGCGTTACCAGCCCCTGCTGTACAAGAGACATGGCAGGTGTGAAGAAAGAGCCCATAGTTCAAGCAGAGGGGAAAGGTATCAGTGGATGAGCCATCCAGAAAGTTGACCGCCTCAATCTGGCTCAATGTGCGTGTGAAACCATAGTCCAAAAGAACACACTATAGTGTTGTTCTGGCCTCCTTCTGCCTGAGCTGTGGCACTGAGCGGGCATTGGGTGTACCGTACTGTAGTAGGTGACAGCCTCTGACACTGTAATTGTCTATAGGCAGGGGACAGAGGCAGCAAGCCATCTAATGTTTCCTTTCTCCAGGAATTATTGATGATCGACAGTGAGAGTTAGGCTTACACACCACAGATAAGGCATTTCATTCATAAAAGTATTATATGGAGACACGTACCACAGAGTTTATATTATTTTTTATCCAAAGTTTAAAAAGAAATTTTGATTTCTGTTTCATTAAAACAGATTAGGCCTCCGTATTTGCTGCCAGAGACTAGAATTTCTGTGCAAATTAACTTGGTTGGTTTGAAACAAAAATCTTGGCTGCCCTTTTTCTGCCCTACCTTAAGCAGATTTGTCAAACTAAATTAATAAAAACTATAAACAACAGACGTGTAGTTTGTTAAATGTTTTAACACATGTCAAAGGCCACTGGAATTGGACGTGTTCTCAAACACAAAGTTCTTGAAGTACAAATAACAGACCCGTTAGTGTCACATGTCTAAGGTTACTCGAAACGCTGACGTCACAAATCTCACTTTACCTATTCAGTTACTGGCTCTCAGCAATTATTTTCACTGTTAAATTAGAAGATATTGTAGTGCTGCTATGGTCTGCCCTCCACATGTGCTGATCCTAAAGTCTGAAGGAAGTGCGTCTCCTCACAAGACATTCTTGTGCTCGGGCCACAGCTGCAGTGTCACACTTCAGATGGCCACGCTTCCCTTTGTGCAGCCCTCTGGAGTCCACCCAAACCACAACAGACTTGCACCACTAAACAGACATTTGGTTTCATCAGCTATTATTGTACAAAAACGAAAATATCTGTACATGTGTGTGCAAATCTGTGTCACGTCTACTGTGTATTAAACCCATAATATAGTATCTTATTCACATTCACACCTAAATTGTTTTGAATTGTATCTTTTTCAGAATTCTGATTGCATCAAAATCACCTTAATTCATAAACCAGCCATAAGAGAATTATCCACACCACAGTGAAATAACTGAACTCATTTGAAACAAACATTGCCCAACCAAGGCTCTGAAAACTCTTTGCTAACAATGTGAATAGTACCAAATAAAACTTTACATCAAAACACATTTGGAAGAGGGGATTGACTTCAAAGGCATCCTGGCAACAGTGCTGTCTGTCTAATTTACGTTTTCAAGCACATGCCAAATGTAAAAACCCCAATTTTGAGCTGTGCATAATTACAGAGAGTGGAATGAGCGCCTATAAATACCCCCATCATTACCAGTCCCTCCTGAAGAACATGATCCATACAGAAGGATAATTAAGGCAAAATATTTCTGATCCGCTGCACACTGTTGCAAGAATGTGTGTGCATGTGGTGTGTTTACTGCGCATGGGAAGAAAGTGTATCAGTGTGAGTACAAGAGAGGGCAAATTCACAAGGCTTTTCCCCTAAATATAGTTGTGTTTGAGAGACTTGTGGAGAACTCAGGCAGAGCTCCTTTAATTGGTTTGCGCAGTCATTAATGAAACTGTGTGTATTGGACACTGTCAATGCCCTTTAAACAACAACAGACACTTGGAAGTAACTTTGATCAACAAACATGTAGCAAACAAGAGGATAATAATGAACTTCCATGTTCCTCCCAGGTCTCCTAAAATAGATCATTTCAACTCGGATACATCAGATTTGACGATAATATTCCGAGATTAGGCCAGCTAATTAGTGCCCCAATATTTGGCAGGGTGCTTTGACTGGGGTCCAAATAAGCATATTGTCCTCATTGCAAAAGAAGTGAGAGGGATTTTCCTTTGTTCTTCACTCACACAAGATACACAAGAAAAACTTTTGCTGTGCTCCAGGCTTGTGTTCTCTCATCCCTCTTTTGTGCTCGATCAAAATGCAAGAATGTTTTTGGCAAATAAGAGAAGCCGGCTAACATGACAGGTGACCACTGATTATTTCTGAGTACTACAGCAGTGGCCAGGTTCCTTGTTGATGGGGGTCTTGCAAGGTTGGTCGTGTTGTCACGACTTGAACCAGATGCAAGCTCCAGCAATAAGCCCGTTGTTGTTGATGTTGCTATTTGTGTAGCCTTGTGGAGCGCTTCCAATCTCAATTTTGTTTTCCAAATCCTTGAACAGTTTTCCTATGTCTTGGTGAAATAAAAGCGTGTGGCCAACAGCGCTGCTCTCGTTCACATTGGCGTTGAGTTGGATGAAACCAGGGGCAAACTAGTCAGCGATGGGGCCCCTCTCTGGCTCTATGGTGACTTGTTGTTGATGTTGCTTTTGTGTCAACGCTGGACCGTGGCGCGGCACTCACCAAGCTAGATAAATGGATTAGCTGGGGCAGATATAGCAGAGACAACGGTGATGTGGGAAGGTGAAGGGGGTAGAGAAAAGCAAAGGCGTCCATGTTGCTGGACTACATGGGGTCGAGAAGGTTGTAAGAATAGGCTGCTCCTGCCAAAAAGACAAGACAGTGATAAACTTTCCTCCCCATGCAGTTACCTCTATACATCCCCTTTATTCTTCCACACACACATGCACGCACACACACACGGTTCCCGCACTGAAATGAATGGACAGCCCCAGCAGTGACACGTCTCAGTCGCACAGGGACATACGCCTTGTTCTTGAACAAAAGACCCTGGCATTATGGGGGGCCATAGCAAGTGACAGAATGGTAAATTGTTTAAGGGTCAACAATGTATTGTCTTTGCATAAGGCCTCATTTGCATATGTCAAGATTTTAGCAGTCCAGAACTCACAAAAGAAGAGCCTCTTTGAAGTCTTTGCTCTTGTACAATTTAAGCTTATATATTCTAATAAATTATATATATTATATGCAATAAAACATCAAATTGGCTGTATAATTAATTGTGTAAGTAACAGTGCTGTCATTTTAAGCAACCACATCTATCAATAATTTCTGATTGTGTAATAAAATAAAATAAAAATCTTTCATTATTACCCTACCTCCCACTTTGTATAATCTTTTGGCTTTATTAAAATGATTTGTGCTCTCCTCCCCGTGTCATGCTCTTTATTTTCCCCTCCTCTCCAGTCTCGTGGCCCTGGGCATTGCGCGTGCACTCAAGAGAACGCGCAGGAGAGGACTGGTTGGAAAATGACAGCCTAATTATCAGCTTCAACTGTGCTCATTACCCATTAGACAGTCCGCTGTACATCCTTTACTAAATGAATAATTTTGTATATATTATGGAAACACAATATTATGGCCTGCAGCTAACGCCTTGGCGCTAACCCCACGCTGTTCCAGTACAAAAGGAATAAATGGGACACCGAGAGAGGTTATTTAATTTTATCCCCCCAAAAGCAGACTTCAAGAGAGGAAGTCGCGTGTAAATGGGGCGAAGATGGAGGGGGAGTGGTATTTAAAATTCGCACACCAACCTTTTACGCACAGATTGGATTTATCATTATGATCCTAAAAGCAGTGGGTTTATTGAGAGGGTTAATCATGTTTGAGCCATTAATCGTCCATTGTTGTTTTTTTATTTATTTTTTATTTTTGAAGTATGAAGCAGAATATTTTTACTTTACCCTCCGTCATTCTGGTCGTGCTTAATGTAAACAAAAAACGATTAAACTATGAATACACATCTCATAGCTGCATGACTGTAGCTGATCCTGCAAATGCAAATGTTTATAATTCTGCATGTGTCACGTTGTTTTACGTTAGAATGGTTTAAACTATTAAAAATATTATAATAGCCTATAACATAGTCTTGGACAGTGGTTCCAGCTTTTTACTGTGTACATTTTATCTTGGCGCTTATTAAACATTATTTTAAAATAACTACTCATTTAATATTTTCCTAATATAGACCAAAATATGCATTTAATGTTGAAATGTCTAATTCTTGTAAGTGTTTTTGAGCCTATGACCTTTTTCGCCTATGGAGGTCGCTGTAATATTGCAAACCCTTTAAGCCACTCCACAGGTTCAGGCCAATGAAACGTGATACCAACATCTCTTTTTGTAACTGCATAGTCAGATATCAGGACAAAAAAAATATATTTTACAATGAATGTGTCACAATAAGACTGCAGCACGCATATAAAGGAAAAAAATAATCACCAACTGCTTCTTACGGCGTTTCTCCATAGCTTCAACCCCCATTAGGCCTTTGTGTTAAATCAATATTTAGTTTTGGTCGGTATCTAACGGAAGAAAGGGAAGCTGTTTTTATAGGCCCATGATTACTATCAGACTCGAGCAGATACGACCGTAAAAAGTGTCATCCTCCTTTCTTCACACACAGACCGATCTCCGTCTTATTAACCAAAATATTAATAATTCATCTTTACATCGACTTGCCTCTCTGACAGATTAGATTTTAACCATTTGATTTTGTTTGGACTGGGCGTTCCCATATTATTACTTAATGACCTTCCCAGCTGCTCCTGTCCATTTTCTGTCACCAGCAACCATCTGGACACTTATTAGCACCTCAATGCATCCACGCTGCTTTGCTCAAAGATGGAATAAAATTAAGCCTCCCTTCCAGACGCAGCACTGCCACTGCTCCACTGCAAAATTAATCCACCTATAATAATAATAATAATAATAATAATAATAATAATAATAATAATAATGCACGTTTTTAGTTTCTCTATAATTTCATTTAGTTTATTAGGCAAAAATAGACGATCTGGACAAATTCCTTCAAGGTCTCCTATTTACAAATTTCAATCACTTGATATTTACATATAAAGGAAGAACAGCAAACACAAGGGAGAGACAAAATAATAATAATTATTATATATAATAATAAAGTAAAAAGCCTACCAAATGTTCCAGCCTGTTTGGCCAAAGTGGAGAATAACATGGGCGCGATTATAGGCTAAACAACAACAGAGGAAGAATCCATCCACAGGATATTACCAAACTAACCAATTTGTTCTGTACCGATTCGATGCTATACGCTGTGTAATTGCGCATTGTCCTTTTTACTGGTGAGAAAAGTCAGTCTTTTGTTTTGTTTCGGGTTTTTTTGATCGTTCATTTTGTGGGAGAGAGTCAAGCTGAGGACAGAGCCGTGAGGACGCGTTGCGTGTTGTCTGCTGGACTCCTGGTGCTGGCAGGCAGAGAGGATCTGCAGAAAAGAACCACAAGACTGTTAAACACCCGCAGTGTTTGGACAGCAGTTCTCAATCTGCAGCCCGACTGCTCGGCTTATCACACTCTTATTTGAACCAGACATGGCCCATTATAAAACAAAATAATAATAATAATAATAATAATAATAATAATAATAATAGGCTGCGTTACGCACTGCTTATATTTTTATGGATGTGCTTCCATAAATCCATAGTCAAGTCTAGTGCTTGAATCGCAGCCGTTTCTCTGTTTGGCCAGAGCGTTCCCCAGGGCTGCGGCTCTCCCAGGGGTCTTTAGGAAAAGCACACAGCCCAGACACTGCGCGTTTTACTCGGTGACTTGATAAGTAGCCACATTCTCCCCAGAGGCAACGAATTAAAGGGGGAGTGGGATGAGAGTCAAGACCCCTGTCACCGCAAAACAAATTCCTTTTTTCAAACCGCCTTATTTTTTTGGCAATCTTTTTATTCAAAGTTGTCAAATGCAAATTAATTTTTATACATTTATTCGAAATGGAATTGATGTTGTGTTGTCCTCAGTAGAGTTACAACAATGGACTACAGTTGTTTTTCGTTGTTATTATGCCTATATTAAAAATACCTATTTGTCCATTAGTTTCTAAAATGTATTTTGGAAGAACATGGCGTGCATTTTTGTGCGTGAAATATTATTATGAAAATTTAAAAAAAATAAAATAAGTATATATATGTTTGGCGCAGTGATTGCTATTTATAAGACAAATAAAAATACTGAAAGCAGTTGGCATGTGTCTTGTTTGCGTGTATTCCGCAGAAAGTCTGTTTAAACTTTTCTCACCTGTCATGAAGGGGACGAAATGAAGACTTGAGTGGTTGTGCTGGAGGAGAATCAGACCTTACAACATTGTCGAGGTCTAAAAAAATATTATAAACACGGTTAGTGGATAATTGTCTTTGCACTATTGTGTGTAAACGTAAGCTACAGCATACACAGTATGGGCAGAATTGTCAAAGTGTAAACAAAGACTGTGCTTCCTTACCTATGTGCTTGGGACTGTGGCTCTCTGCTGGGCCCTTGCTCTCGCCGCTGAGCGCTGCTGCGGCTGCGACCGGCGACACCAACACTGATGTGGGCTGCTGCTGCTGCTGCTGGCTCGGCAAATGATGGTTGTGGTGGTGGTTTACTCCCAGAAACGACCTCACATTTAGCAGGGAGTTCTGACCCAGAAACGCACCATTTGTCCAGTTATGGAACTTTCCTATCTGACACGTGTACAGTCCGTGGTTGGACAGAAACGCAGGGTGCGTCTGGAGCTGATGGTGGGGTGTTGATGGGTGAGTGGGCCCGCTGGGAGCACAAGGGGAGGTGGGTTTCTGAGAGGAATTGTCTGGACTCGTGGCGGTCTCTGCTAAGGACCAGATTTTAGGTTTGTTGTTAGAAGGAAGGGAAAAGCTCCCAGGCCTGTCCGGAGAAAGAACTCGCGTGTTATTGTTGCTGTCCTGACTGTCCTTAGTTCCAGGGTGAACTAAAATGGGACTCTTAGTTTTGTCAAAGGCCTCCTGGGCCTGCAGGGCAAAGGCCCGTCGTTTGTCCAAAGTGTCCAGTTCCACAGTGGAAGCACCAGTACCTCGCAGCTCCCTGCTGCCCTCCGTCGATTTGTCGTCATCGTCCTCATTGCTTTGATCTCCGTCGTTCTCGTCTATTTTGTCTATGTCTATGCTCTCCAAGTCTATCTCCTCCTCATCATCGTTCTTTTCGGCCTCATCTCCGCTACCGAACAAGTTCCCGTCCTCGTCCTCTTTGCTCCTGCTGCCCCACGTGACCTTGTTCTCCTTCTTGAGTCTCCTCCTGGCGTTGGCGAACCACGTGGACACCTGTGTCAGGGTCATTTTGGTGATGATGGCCAGCATGATCTTCTCTCCTTTAGTAGGGTAGGGGTTCTTCCTGTGCTCGTTAAGCCAAGCTTTGAGAGTGCTGGTGCTTTCCCGGGTGGCGTTCTTGGGCCGGGCTGGGTCGCCATACTGGAACTGCCCATAGGGGTAAAACGCCGGAGAAGTGTGGGCAGCGAAGCTGGCGGGATGGACGCCTGGGCTGTCCTTCAGATCATACTGGGACCCCTTAAAATGTAAACACAAATGGTCACTGAAAAGACTTGACCCTACAAATATGTAGGCTGTGTTGCTTAAATGTAAATGTGCATTTTTACAAAAGTAACCAACTTGCGCCTGACTATTTGCTTTCCATATTTAGGCTTCAACTTGATACACACAACACATGCGACAAGCCTGCACCTGCTCCTGCACACTGCACACAACCTTTCATTTTTTATGACGAGGAAAAAAAGAGAGAGCGCCCAAAAACGTCTTGTAGGCCACCTGATATTTCTGCTCACTTTGCTTATTCTGTAAGAGCACACACACTCACACACATACACACACATACACACACATACACACACACGCGATACACACTATAACAGGTTTGTAGGCCTATAGCCTACTTGTCAAACTTAATGTTTTAGGATATTCAAATAGACCTACCAATTTTTTTTAACCGTGTAAATTTACAAGTTACAATTTGTAAAACATGTAAACCTACATTGAGTAAAGGGTTGCCAGTTTAACCCAGCAGTAACTCATTTACAGACGTAATGTTATTGTCAGCACTTAGAGACAAACAAAAGCATTAGGATTAACAAAGTTTTTCTCACCATTTGTGAAAAAAGCGCCAGGTCGGCACTTGTGTATGGTAAAAAGGCGCTGTAGTTGTGAGCGTAGGGACTGGCGTACATGCCCAGGACCGATGTAACAGCCGCGGCTGTAGCAGACGGACTTCCCCCGATTTCGGTGCTTCCTCCACGGGACGAGGGTGTAAGAACTCCCGGTCGTTCACTCCCGTAAACTGCCTGGGAGGCACTTAAGTACTGCGGGTAGCCGAGCTGCGGAAAAGACATCTCCACCGCCTTGTTCTGGAACAGCTCTATGATCCGATGGCGAAGGAGGAAAAGTGTGCGAGAGAAAAAGAAAGAGGAAACAAGAGGAGCGTAGGCTGTACGTTCACAGCAGACGCATGCAGTGGAATGCAGTCAAAACAAGTCGCTCTTAAATCTCTGCTTCCTCACTCGTTTTTTTCGTGCTAAGTCCGCTGTTGGATGTGATCTGATCAACAATTGCGCTCCAACTGACGCGCCTGGCCCTGAGGTCTCCAGGCTGATCTCTCAGATACAATTTGAAGTTGATGCTTTGATTGGCATCCCCTACTTGAGCCCGCAAGCTCCTCCTTGTTTGGAGCAATGTGGATAATGTGAAGAGAGCGCGCGCGCATTGGCTGAGGTCTCTCCCTCTCTCTCTCCGCTTCTACTCTCCCTCTCTTTCCCCCCGTGTTTGGACTTATTGTATGTTAAATGTTCAAGCATTAGAGTCCATTCACCGAAGCCTTTGATTGTTGTATGACAACCTGTCTACACGATTTTACAGCTGTCCGACACACGGCGATGTAAACCCGTCACAAACAACGAGAAGGAACTAACTTTACGCGCACTTCTTCGTAATTAAAGAAATTATAGCGGAGGAATCGGCGCTTTAACCCGCTGGTGTCGGAGGATTTAGAAACTTACCGAAAGCTTTTTGTTAAAGCTCGCTCTTTCACTTGACGCTGGATCTTCACTTTTACGCATGCTGAAAATGACCACGAAATCGGCATAAACAACAATGTATCAAACGCACCATTTTAACAACACATTTTAATTAACACATACAATATAAAATGGGCCTAATTATAGGCCCACCTAAAGTAAAGTATTTAAAAAAATATAGTCTATGCAGGCCTATGCATACTTCAACTTGTAATTTTCTTTTTCTTTTTTTTTTTTTTTTTTCATTTTGCCCATAAGTTTTCTTTTATTTTTTCTTTACTTTCTAAATATTTAAACAGCTAAACAGGAGATTATCTGGTGGCACAGTTGCTTTTTTACAGTTTAAAAATTAAGCCTGCCTAAATTTGAATACTCAAATGAACACAATATAATTTGTAGAATAATTGACACATAGTTGAATCTATTGTGACAGGGTCATGAATCAGAAAAAAATACTATAGTCACAATTACCCAAATAAAGATAATAATAGATAAATAATAAATCTCCTCTCACCTCCGTAAGCTGTTTTGGGGAGGGCCACGGTTCCATTTGATTTAGTGGATTCTTCCTTCAGCCACATAATGCAGAAGAGCCTTTTTTCTGTAGATCTGGATTTAATGCCTTTAACGACTGCAGCCCAGAGAGAAGTCAGAGGAGATTCTGATCTGCACCAGATGGCTCCGAGTGGATATTGCCGAAGCGCGCGAAGGATCTGTTAAAAATATCTGAGGGGCACTGATGGTAATCTGGCAAACACATCAGAAAAGAGGGGACGAATGGCAATTGTGATAACCTGCTTCAAATGTGTGCAGGAGGTCTAAAGACGCAGACCAAGGTGCAAAGTGTTTAGGATGACAGACCGAGAGAGGAAAGTCCAAAAGTCAAAATTGAACTTTATAAATTATTTTAGAAAGATAATACGAATTTTAATGCAGTGGTGTGTCCATGCTTATTTTGTATTTTCAATTTGTTTTGAAATTGTAATTAGCCATTATATAGTTTTAACACAGATAGACTGGAGCAATAAAGTATTGTTAAGTGATTTATCTGCTCTTGCAGTTTAAGTCCCATTACTACCTGGAGCAAGGGACACCTAGTTCTACCAGACATACATATCACGCACAGGAGGAGGGACTGAGGAAAGCAGAAAAAAGTTGGTTCCGGATCCTCTCCCTTTACGCGCTGTCCACCCTTACACGTTCATTTCTGATGCATTTCCTAGAAACAGATGGGCTTTCACCATCTGGATCGGCACGTCTATCCTCGCGCGCGCCTGTCAGTGCCATGTACGTGACGCGCGCAGACTTCCCTTCTCTTCCCCGAAGTCCTCACAGCGGACTCATGTTCCTCCACGAAACTTACCACAAAAATAAAGTTCACCTTATCCTACCGCCATTGCAAGTATTTCATTTGTTAGATTTAGTTTGGCTGCAAACAAGGACACACCTGTGAATCTAGGTTTAGGATTGACTTTACTTATTTTAAGTTAAAAGTTTGTTGTTGTTTTTTTTTTTCCAGTTTTTTTTTTTTAATGAATTATGAGAGTAAAAATACACACACGTACACACACACACACACACAACAAAACATAACTTCAAAGGATTTATTTTCTTCAAAATTTGTATTACCAAAAAGAGTGATTATAGTGTATACAAAATATCATAGCTTTATTCTTTTTTATTTATTCTGTGGTCTGAGATGGAAAATAAACGCAAATGCAACAATATTAACTGAATATTTAATTATTATTTTAAAAAAAAAAAGATTATATATGTTTAAATCCAGTTTCCATCGTGACTTGTTGCATAGTTTGAAATACATGGAATACACACTTAATACTGATATGTGTCCTGAGTGTAAAAGAGCAACTGTGGGGGCCAGAGCGTCTAACTCAGGAAAACATTACACATCCATCTGTGACAGCTGGACTCTTTGGACATTTTCAAATCTCAACTCAAAACACTCCTCTTCAGATTTGCATATTCACTGTAACCACCATTTATCCAACATAAGGAATTTTATTATTATTATTATTTTTATTTTTATTCTATACTGTAATTTAAAATATGTCCTGTATGTATGTTGCTGTTATTGCTTTTATTGTAAGGTGTCTTTAGGTGTCTTGAAAGGTGCCAGTAAATAAAATGAATTATTGATATTATTAATTATTGGGCTATGAACTGTGTTGTAGCTTTTCTTGCTGAAATGGTTTGGATTATTCTTCAGGGTGAACTGATCTATTGTCCATGCTCTTTACTTCCTGAATTGGTCAGAGTTGTTCTAAGTGGCACTTAGTAAATCCACGGTTGACCCGGCTCCTTTCTAAGAGGCCTAAATGACTCCCATGGAAGACATTGAGAGTGAGCGTGCGTTGCAACAACACCGCTTATGTTGACAGTTGGCTACCACCGCAGAGGTCAAGGGTGTCTCTGTGAACTAATAACTGTGCTGAAAGATACTCTTTTCCTGCCTCTGGGAGCACCAAAGTTGAGGAAAGGTTAAGAATCTACAGAATGTCCCTTTTGTGCTTTTCTCGCGGATTATCAAATTAAACATTGAAACCAAATGCCATTTTGTTCAAAAGACTGAAGATTAAGTGAATGTGATTGATCTCAATATGCTGCTGTTTATAATGACTGTCATTGGCTGTAGTGAGTGTCATAAATATGAACACAACTCTGCATCTGTGCAATGTATCCTTGTCTAACTGTGTCGCAGCCGCTAAAGTATTTAGAGTTGGAGTGTGCGGCCCACTGGTGTTACTGCCAGACACTTGATACACTCACAGCACAGCCACACCTAGAAGGTAAGGAAACTAGGAATTTCCTGGATTATAAAATGGGGCTATTTGGGGGTTTTAGAAGGTTGAGACAATGTACAGCTGACAACTAAACACTTGGAGGGGCGTTGTTATTCTCAGCTTTTTGACATGAAGCAGCTGAAATTTGAATGTGTGGATTTTGTGGCAGCTCGAGCAGCACAGTTTCTCCAATAATGCAGTGCAACAAGTAGCTCTGGCCATAAACAATTTTACCCCAGATGACTTGTGCCGCTATTTATACATCCTTAAATGTCAAAACATAAATCTCTCATGGGACTATTTCACACCGAGGTGCTTAAAATTACACACATGTATTTCCAGAAATGAATAACTGTCATCAATTTAATACACTAACTCACTATGTCCAACCTGCATCCATAAAACTCTGCTAAATTCTACCGACACTGCCATTATTAACTGTTATTTTGACACAGGATCTCACAAAAGGCTCACTATAAGTCTTGCTACCAGTTATAAGGGGAAACAGCAGTTCATTATTGTTGACACGTTTTATTTTAACTATCTTTGGCTGCTAAATACATATCATTCAAGACAACAAACAGGGATGTGACTTGTTCTTCCCCAAGGGCGTTCTCAGCGGTGGGTAATGAACGGGTGGGCCCACAGTTTGATGCGGTTAGGGGCCGAGGGCAGAGAAATGTGAGAAGGGGTGTTAATTGTTTTGGCTCTTTGCTGGGGAAACATATCAACATTAGATCTAATGGAGGTTAAAGACTCTCATTGCCATAGGGGCTGCAGCTAATGAATAGCTATAGCTAGCCAAAGCAGGGATAAAAGGGGATATGGAGAGAGAGAGGGGAGAAAAAAGGATATAGCATTTACTGGCCTTTAAAACGGTTTAAACTATATTGAGTTGGGTGTTTTATTGCAGTTCAGAGCTAAGAGGATTAGCATTGCGAGCTCATGAATTTATTTTTATATGGAGCTTTTTTCATTGGCAGCAAGTCAGCTACCTCAAGGACAGATTGAGACACAGGTTTATTGAGAATCAAAAATCTAATTTTCCATATTAAATTAGCTCGACAGAATGATTTATGGTTTGTGTTAAATAAAGTTCCCAGATCAAGTGCCAGTAGTATTTTACTAATCAAATTAGAAACAACAAATACATAATTCTAGTTGGCCACCCAAACAATGGTCTCATGAATGTTGAAGACACAGGTGAATGCCATAGGCTCTAACTTCAGACACATAGAAATCTACCCAATGTCTGACTGATACAACATGACAGTTTAAGCCTGATATTTCAGATATTAACTTTATAAAAATAAATAAAAGTGATAAACAAACCCCTCTGTAGATGACACACTTCCAGCATTTATTTATCAACCATGTTAATTGAATTTTAAGCAAAGGCCTTCTTTGCTCTAGAGTGAAGTATTCTTTTGAAATTACACTCTTTGATAGTGGTGCAAAGGATAGACTTGCAGATAAAATGATCAACAGACAGCATGACAAATGGAATTTTAATGAGGCACTTTCTTTCATGTGCTCTTGTGTTGTGCAGCCATTAACTTTTGCTCAGTCTTTGTTCTAACTATTGAGACCTGCTGTTTTAATGTTGCTGGACATGCTCCCCGGGATTGCCACATCCCTTACTGTTATCACGTAGTTTGACAGTCAGTCAAGATTAATAAACC